CCATCATGCTCTCAGCCTCTCAGGGTCCCAAAGTGTCCCTAAGCATCTTGTCGCTAGTGTCTCTGAGCCTCAGCCTTGCTGTGCACCTAAGCCTCAGCCACCCAGCTGAACGCTCAGCACCCTGGCTACAGCAGTGTTCCTGAGTCCACCGCCCTTGCTGATGTTCCATCTGCTCCTGTTCCTCTTCCTGTGTGTGGGTTGGCATGGATGTGAACCCTAAAATAATTCTTACACACTTTGGAATAAGACCTGAAAAGAAACATACACCTGACAGTTGTTCACACTTAAGTATTTGCTGAAATGTGTTAAACAAATGGATCTTATTAATCTGAGGTTCAGGAGCAGGATCTCACCTCAGACACACCCGCCTCCACCTCCACACGCTCGGCTGCTTTACTAAACAGTTCCCAGGAAATGGAGGTGATGTCTAGTGAACAGACATCATTCTGCACAGTGAAGTCAATGCCACTGGAGTGAAGGTGATGACAACGTAATGAAGTTGATGTCATCTGAGAGAATCAAAGCCAAGAAGTCGTCATCATCACTGTATAGCTCTTGACATCACATCGAAGTCGACATCACTGCAGTGACTGCAAGTCATAGCGGTGGAGTGACTGAGGTCACCATGTAGCTGACATCACAGTGGAGTCAGCCACATCACAAGAAAGTTAATGTCATTACACCAGAGTCAGTTTTCTGCAGGTGATGCAGGTGTAGAGGAGGATGCTTCAGTCGGACTTGAAGCCACAAACTCTCTTGGCTGTGGGACCTTGCTCTGGATCATCCTCCCCTGAATATCGCCCTCTGGGCCCCAAGGATGCAGAGCTCACTGCAGAAAAGGCTGCAATGAATCAAATCATTAGATGGAACAACCTTGAATCAGGGAACAGCCTGTTTCTGGCAGGCTGGGTTATTCAAAGATTTTCAGGGAAAGTTGATGTTTTCTATGATGTTTTCCTCTGGCTCAAACACTTGTGTTTTGTAAAACAGTAAAGTCAGTGGAGGCTTGGAGCCACTGCAGGGGGAAATGTGAAGTTGACTGATTCATTTGGGAACAATAAACAAATGCGAGCTCTGATGATGGAAAGGTTATCAAGATTCATTCCAGCAGCATTTCTTCAGAGAGAACCCTCCCAGAGGTGGACTGAGCTCTGACTGGAAACCAAAAACACCTGGCAATTCTCTTTTATTGGTCAAATCAAGAGCTGCAACTACTCTTCTCATTTATGTGCAGATTCACTGATCAGTTGTTCAAGCTGGAAAATGTCAGAAATCAAAGCTGGCACTTTAGAAATATTGTTTTGTCCAGTCACCAATCTAAAATACAGAGATATTCAAATGTCTTCTGTCCTAACAGCTGCTCAAGGGGAATTTGTTGGGTTTTTCAATCAAATCAAATCAAAATTTATTTATATAGCACTTTAAAACAATGTCTGGATGACCAAAGTACTTTACAAGGGCAAGGTAAAAACTAAAATAAATATCAATATAGAAATAAAACAACATAAGAACATACAGACACGAACTACACAGAATCAACATTAAGAGGTAAACCATTCCACAATTTAGGAGCTGCAACAACAAAAGCACGGTCACCTCAGCGTTTGTATCTGGCCCTGGGGACCTCTAAAAGAAACAACTGGCTTGAGGATCTGAGTAATCTCGTAGGTTCGCGCCAGTTCACCAACTCAGCGAGGTAGGGTGGTGTCAAACCATTAAGAGCCCTGAAAACAAAAATCAATAGCTTAAAATGAATTCTAAAATGGACCAGAGGCCAGTACCGGGGTTATATGGTCAAATTTCCTAGTACCTGTTAAAAGACGAGCAGCAGCATTTTGGACCATTTGAAGATGAGAGAGAGAGAGAGACAACTGATTAACACCAAGGTATAATGCAGTACAAGTCTAGAGGTTATAAAAGCATGAATAGCAGACTTGGAACTGAGGGCCACAGACAGGAAGTCAGTCAGCACTGAGATACGGACTAACGCTGCTGGTTTGAGTTTGACCACAGGATTTGATGATGAAAAAAAAAAATACAGAAGAACAAGAAATCCTTTAAAGCAGCTCTGAGCTGCAGTGAACAGATCACGTCTGACTCAGGTGGTTGAATCTTTAAGGATTCTGGAGCAGAGAACATGATGCTGGGTTTTCACAGATTGTCAGGGATTTGTACTCGGAGAAACAGAAGCTTGCACTGTGACTTTAATGTGAAGATGAGTGTAACAAACAGCAGCTACATCAAGGTGACCCAACAGGCCTGGATCTGTTGGTGAAGTCCCCATGGTGTGTGTCCTGTCTTTAATCTGCAGGCAAGGCCAGGCAGTCAACTTGTGATCTGTAAAGCTGATCTTGGACATGTGAAGAGCAGCTCCTCGGTCTGTGCGGGATGTGATGTGTGTCAAATGCTGCCGCAATTAAGGGAAAGGGGTTAGAGCTGCAATGTGATGGCACAGCTCAGGAGGTGTGTTCACAGCAGGTAATCATGTCAGAGAGGTGATGGTGCTGCTGACCTGATCAATGCTCATGGCAGAGTCACAGAGGAGAAACTCAGGGCTGCAGCCAAGTTTAAACCACAGCACACTGAGAACCAGCAGGGACACGAGTCCTTTGCCCTCAGGGGACAAAGATCAGACACCAGAAGCTCAGTCTCTTTTTTCCACTACTTTATTTCTCAACTTGAAGGCCTCCAAGTAAAGTTCTTGAGAGGAAAAAATGAAATCTATTTAATTATTTAATTGTTTTCCTAAATCTAATCAAACCTCACAACAGTAAAGCTTGTGAAAAAAACACCAGGCGTGTTGCACATCAGACATAGCGACATTTTATCTGTACCATGACTTGCCACTGGGACAAACTGACAGTGAGGCTGAGTGGTTTTTGGATCACTTTTCCCCTACAGAAGCAGAATTATTGAGGTGATGGCAACTGATCCCAGCCATTTAATGGGCTGTAAACGTTTGAACTGGATGGGAAGTGAAGCATTTATTTGTCTAACACCAACATGATATAAGGCTTTTCTCAGTCTGTCATTAATCACAGCCTGACTACTGTTCGCAGGCCAAATCTAGACCAGTTCAGACCTGAATAGGTGTAATTTGTGTGGAAGCCAAGTATGAGAATGGTGGAGATTTAGAGCCAGACTCAAATTTGTGTCTGTTGCTCTCTCCCCTTCTTAAATTTTGCCATTTGCTCAGGTGAGAGACACTAACTGTTTCTACAATGTGGTCAGTTTGGAAATCCAGAGTGGTAAGGACACACCAGTCATGTCATCTGCTAACAGCCCAGCTACTGGCGGGAGCTGTCAGTCAGCATCCAGGTTCTTCATCCTGATCTAAAATGAGACGTGTGTGAAGGTGATGTGATGCTTCATGTTGTTATTCGACAGAGCTGCTGTGGAGCATTGACCAACAACACATCGACACTGACAACTCTGTCAGTGACGTGTGATCAGGCACGGGAAGCGTTCTCACATCCTCCACTCTGGAAGTCTGAGCATCAACAAGTAGTGGTTACATAATCCAGGAGTGAGCTGCGTTTCTGTCTTTAAAGAAGAAAGCACACTGAGTTGCTCTTCCCCTGTCAGACTCTCTGATGTTTCTACACAATCAGGGTGATAAAATCCCACACAGAAAATATTCTGAGGCATATGCAGCAACGTGACACGTGTCAAAGAGCTCAAGCAAGTTTTTAGAAGTTGTTTCACTGCAGCTTTTCAGAATTTTGGTAAATGTCAACAAAGAATTTGTTCAGTGGACACACACCTGCTGTTGGCCTTTATACTGTCTTTTTGATTTCTTTTTTGTCCGTCTTCCTGTGAGAGCCGAGGTCACGCTGCTGAGAAGCACAGGCCTTCCTGTTTACTGGAACACTCCAGGAAGCATCCGAACAGTGTGTAAAAGATTCAGAGTATATAAATTCTGAGAGAGAAAGAAGACAGGACTGAAATCTGTGTGGTGTATCAAATAAATTCCTCTGACAATCAGGTATCACACACTGATCATTTATCATGTGTGTGTGTGTGTGCACTCATGTTGCTCATGTAGTGAGGACTTGCTTCCATGTTGCAGCTCTGTGGTGTAAAGAAAGACCTGGTTTGAAGTGGTGCTCTAGGACAGTATGAACAGTCCCGCCTCCTGGTCTGGTGTTTCTGGAGCTTTCAGCTGTTTAACACAGTCTTCATCAGTCAACTGACACTGCAGTCATCAGAGGAATCAGTCATTGAAATCATAAAAGTTGCTGAGCTCACATGTCTACAGATCCACGATGACTGAGCTGACACCATGCACTGTTATATGGTTGAATGCACTGGAGCCCTAGGATTTGCTGTTCTGTCTCATAACATCTGAGCTGTTCTCCATGATGTCCACCAGTCTGAGCAGCATCTTCCTCATCATCCTCCAGAGACATCTCCAGCACAGAGCCAGCCTTCCTGACCAGTGTGTTTAGTTTTCTGGTGTCACTGGCTCTGATGCAGATAGCACAACAGACTGGGGGAAGATCTACCAGTTGCTGAAGATGGATGATTTCATTTTCAGGTAATAAGCCTTTAAAAGAATGTGCTTCACTTTGCTGTCAGCAGTCAGTCTAAAAGAGGAGCACAGTCTGATATGTAGAAGCCTTGTATCTCCACTTTTACCTGCTCTCAGATGAGCTGCAGGATTTCACACTGCTGCACAAGTTTACAGCGTTTTACAGATGTGTCACAC